TTTCACCGCCGCACGCTGTTCACGAAAATCAGCCATTGCAAAAACGACGATCACACAAAACAGTTGTCACTATAAACTCTGCCGAAACTAGTCCTTACCTTCTGAAGCAACGGTAGTCGGCTTATTGACTAGGAATGTTAGCTCTATGCACTCATAGTGGCAAAACATGGTACTACAAAAGCTCTGCCCACAAAAAAATTAGTTTGGTTTCTTTTGGGTACCCCATCATAATTATGATNNTTTTTTTTTTTTTTGTGGAGAGCAAAGTTCTTTTGTATGTAAAACTTGGTCTGCCACTCTAAGGCAAACATAGCTTGACGGTGCTGATATGTCGCATGGAATGTGGGACCCAAGAAAAGAATACAAAATTGTAGCTGAAAACATCATGCTGAGAGACTGCCTAAAAGACTTGGTCATAGGTGGGAGGATAATTTTAAAATGCTCTTATTGGTTATGAAGATTTTGCTGTTTCTGAACATGTTCATGTTCCTTCTGGTTAAAACAGTATCTTTTGATGCTGAATAATAGCATCTCAAGAAAACTCTCTACCATAGATTCATTTTGTTTCTGTGTGGGTTAGTTATTGTGAAATTTGAGGTTGTCATGATGGTGTCTATGAAGAACACTATCTTCTGGGATGCAGCACTGTGTAGTCTGTTAGAAGTTCACCAATGTTAAGAGGAACATTCTGCCTCCATCTTCTGCTTGCTTTTACCCTTGAACCCTGAAGATGGAGGCAGTATGTTTCTTCAACCCAGCATCACATCCCAGAAGACAGTACTCGTCAAGTTATTGTGAGGTTCACATAGAGGCATAACATGAGCCTGTCACCAGCACTAATGGGGTCATGTGATTGCAGACTTGTCGCAGCGGGTGGACAGTGTAAAGGAGGAGAACTTGAAGTTGCGTTCAGAAAATCAGGTTCTGGGGCAGTACATTGAAAATCTGATGTCAGCCTCCAGTGTGTTCCAGTCTACCTCACCCAAGACTAAGAAGAAATGAACTAACAATATTTTCTAGTTTGTTGCACCGCCTTCCCTCCATAGAGTTTATCCAGTGCAAACATGAGGACTGGTTGGTAAATCTTGATGCTCTTCTCTGAATTCTTTCCCTCACAGTCTTTGTGATAAGTTACTGAATAAGGAAGTGATTCTGTTCTGTTCTCTTGCCACTGCCGTAGACTGCATTCCTCACCCGCAGATTTCCTTTTTACATATTTTACTTGAAATATATGGCAAATACAGTGATAAATAGCTTTATTTACTTTATACTTATTACAGTAAATATTTATGAGCTGTCATTGAAGTTCATTTCTGTAATGTTAAGAACTGTACTTGGGCATGCCAAGGAGGAAGTGCTTGTTTAATTTCCTTTCCTCCATAATGATATTTTAGGAATATACAGTTTTTAAGAACGATGACTTCCTTGATCTTTAATAAGTGTGATGTGTCAGCTGTCAGCTTTATGTATACAGATTGTCTTAACTTATTCCAAATTGTGTACTGCCTCTTGAAATATAAAATAATTAAGGAGTGAATATTTGTATATAATAATATTTGAGCTAACAACACGGATGGGACTTTTAAATGGTGGTACGGCTGAACAGTGGCTTCATAATTTTGTGTATTGTTTTTGTTTCCGTTTTGTGGATGTGCGTAATGATGATTAGATTTTTATGTTTCTATTACTTTTCTGGCCAAAGAATGTTAATTTAATATGATACTGTGGTGTAGAATGGTTTATTTTACAGCAGTTGTAAATCAGAGTAATATTGTATAATAAATTGTCACACAACCAACAGATATGTTTTATTACAAGACTCTAAGTATACAAAATTACCTGTAAAAATTGAGGTGTGGGATTTAGCTACATGTAGCATGTACATTCTCAACCCTTCTTCCTCTTCTATCCCTATGAAGGAGGCATAGCATTTAATTCAGAGGTACATAACCTAAAGATTTGTATATGAAATTGTGAAGAATTATGTCAAAAATGCAAAGAAACTTTTATTGTGTTTTTGAAATATACATTTTCCCTAAAATATACAAAATCTTTCATCAAATTCTGATATGAGTATTCACTGAAGGGACCCGGTATTATTAAGGTGTCAAACTTGACTATACTGGAACTGTTTTCAGGGCCACTCAGAGAAGAGTTTAGTCTGTGCCTAGGAGGACTATCATCATCATCCTCATCAGTGGCCAAGCATTTTTTTAGCCATACCCTTCATTAGAAGATTCTGCCAGATTGATGACCTATTCCAATATGGCGGAAAGTGGTGTAGCAATGTATGACCGGTCGCTTGAATACGATTAAGAATTGTATACAGTGCTTGAATCTCGGAAGAGAAGTAGTAAGACTTGTAAAAGAAAACAAGAAATGGAAGAATAACATGAGGAATTATGTTGTTAAACCACAATAAATACCCACAGTTGTAAACCATTTTGTAGCACTCAGCGAAATAACCAGTGACTGTGATAGACAGAAGAAGTTAGAAGGAATAAATAAAAAACAGATAGCTAGAAATATAAAGGAATTAAGGAAAAATAAAATTATACTAATGGGGGACAGTCACGTAAAAGGATATGCGTCTGAATTATCGAACCAAGTGGACAAGAAATTTGAGGTTAAGGGCACAGTAATGCAGGGAGCAAGATTACAAAATATTGTGCAACTGTGCAAACAGTAAGTTAACTCCCTGACTAGGGATGATATGTTTATACTATGGGGAGGCTCAAATGATGTTGCAAAAAATGAAACAATGAATGGACTTAGTCACTTAAAAAGTTTACAAATAGGAAAAAGAATACAAGTTTCATTTTAATTACAGCCCCTCACAGGTGTGACTTAATAGACTCATCATATATTAAAGGAGAAATAAAAAGTATTCAATAGGAAAATGCATAAAACAATGAAGTTGGAGAGTAATGTGAAAATACTGGAAATTGAATTGGATAGATCATGTTATACCAGACATGGGCTTCATCTCAATGTAACTGGGAGAAATAGAGTGAAAGAGTTGATATTAAACCAGATATGGGAACTCTCAACTAAGGACAAGGGAGACATTATTGCCCAGTGTTGGATATATAATTTGAATGAACCTTGCCATATACAGGGAAGAGATAATACAAGTCCAGAAGTTAAGGAGTCTCAACTGAAAGATGGAAAAGAAAAAGAAGATAGTGAAAGTGAGAACCTGAGTGATTGTGATTGTGACCAGACAGTGGGTGTACTCAAAAATATTATAGGGAGAAATGACATCAGTAATCAACGAAAGTTAATAGAAAAATCCTCGATTGGGAAAGAGAGCATAGTAATAGAAGAAAAAGAAGACCACCTACCAGAAATGAGAATTTTTTATGGGAGTAAAATTAAATAAGTCTCTTTTCAATAAGTGTAAATATACTAAAGACTCTCTAATTCTTGTACATCAAAATATCAGAGGTCTTAGAGGCAAAATTGATGAATTGAAGTGTTCAGTAGTTAGCAATAATATAAATCCTCACTTAATATGCTTATCTGAGCATCACATGTGTGATATGCAGGGTGTACAAGTATTATTGCAATGGTTTAAAACTTACCTCCAATATAGGAGGCAAAGAGTGGAATTAAATTATATAAATAACAAATATTATTCTAACTTGGAAATTGTTGGATGTGGTGTGTATCAGGGATCGGTGTTGGGACCCTTACTCTTTAATATATACATAAATAATTTTCTCCTTGAAATAAGTAAAATTTAGGAAGTTATTATGTTTTCAGGTGACAAGTATTCTTTGCACAGCTGAAGAGTACTATAATTTAAAAACAAAATTGGATGTTGTTTTCAATCATATGTTTATGCGGTTTCANACATACTTTACATCAGCAACAATAGTCATTGCATCTCTGAAAGGGATCAGAATCCTCAGGTGACTAGCAACATTGTATGGGTCACAGCTAACATGCTTGTGGCCACTAGGATATATGTTCCTATTCACGATAGGGGTGCTGACAGGGGTGCTTCTAGCAAACTCATCAATCAACATCAAGTTTCTCTGTTTGCAGCTGGACAGTCATCTGACTTGTAGGGGACATATTGATTTTTTGCTTCACAAGTTGAACACAATTTGTTTTCTAATGNTTATACAAATTATACTCCATTTTCAATTTTTTGCCTTTTAATTTTGATGAGTACTGCAAAAATGATTTCCCAGTTCTTCACAGAGTTGTTCTGCATTACAAATTCATTTCTGTTTGTAACACTTGACAAATTTTAGCAGTCCCTGATGTCATAATACAGATGGAAGCAATAAAAACATTTGGCCTTCTGCTAGCACTGCTTACACTCTTCGGATTTTCGAATCTTCTGACTGAGTGTCAGAAGAATGAAAGAATGGCTGTTCAAGAGAAAGCTAGAGGGGTCCGTTCTTCAGTTCTAAGTTCCGTTATAGCTGCAAAAGCTTATTGCCCTTTCTATGGGCCTGAACAGACAGCTTCATCGCGGCTGAGATTCAGAGTGCGGTCTGTTTTCTGTGCGTGCTTAGTGAAATCGAATACTGTAGTTTTATTTCAGCCTATATATACATCAAGCAGATAACAACAAAAAAGGTATGTACATCGAATTTTACTATATATTTTTAACACATTAATCTGCAGAATCTGCAATAAAAGTACTGGCTCGTGGATGAGTTTGGGCATAACTCATACGTATATTCTTTTTGTTGTTGTTTTCCTAGGTATCATTTTAATTTTTCTATTAGGGCTTTACTCAAGTCTGTCTGGTAATTACTATATTTAAAAATAAATATTTAGGACTATGCATTCGCTTCTACTAGCGGCGTGTGCGCGCGCTTCCCCTAGCGGAGTTTAAATGCCCGAGTTGCCAAAACTGGGTACTTTGGCCACGACGACCTTACTCACCACTGGCACAAACGGGGCACTTCGGCACTTAAAGGTTAATAAGCTGGATGTATGTGTCATTGGTACCAGAAGGAATGACCACCTTCATATACCTTCAACACATTTATCATCCTATCAGAGAGGGGTGTATTATTCAGGCGTCAAGCTATTTAATAATCTGCCGTCAAATATCATAGTTTTAAAAAACGATAAAAAGCAATTTACGTTTGTTTTATGAAATTATTTGCAAAGTATCGTATTTTACTCTATTGATGAATTTGTCGAGCATGTAAGTGACTCAAAAGTTAAGAGTTAATAAATGGTCTGTGTGCCTGAATTACACACTGTTGAGACTTGCTTGTTGTAAGTGTAGTAGTACAGTATGTATGTCTGTTTTTTGTTATGAATTTTAATATTTTATAATATAACTGCTTGGATGATATGGCTTGCCAGTGTGTGTGGAATGGCAAGGTGTGAATTTGATTGTGGTTTTTCCACGACCTATGTGTGTTGTCCTGACAAGTTGAGCTATTCTGTCTGAGGCTTGATTTTATATTTTATTGGACTAAGGATGAATGATGTGTAGTCATCATGAATTTGTAATATGTGACATGTTTTATATCCAGCCTTATGGGGAGATGATTGGATCCATGAAGTGAAAAATAAATGTAATGTAAATGTAAATGCATCTGGTTATTACTTTTTGAATTTCGGACAACTTTTTTACAGAGCAATGTCATCAGCCTTGCGTCCAACCCCCAATCTGGAGGAGCAGGTCCTTGTATTTATGTTCTCCAGTGACAGGGTGGCCTAGTTATACCCACAGGCACCAGGTTTCCTTCTCGTCAGCTACAACTTTCACGGAGGTATTCTTACCTGCCTCCACATGGAGAAGAGAATGGTCATGGATAGTAAATTAAAATTTTTTTATAAATTATATTCCTGATAAAGTCGTATGTTAAGATGAGAATTGGCATAAAACATGAACTTAAATTAAATTATTGATATTTAATATTCCATTCAAATTCAAGACATGCTATAGCAATGGGCAAAATTATAAATTATTTTCCCATTTATTGCTTTCCAGGGTCCTACAATTTATGTGGCATGCTTACAGAAGTTACATTACTGATTGAAGTTTTAGTATAGGAAAACTGAACGTGATGAAATGTTTTACTTGCCCTGAAGACAGCTTGTATAAAGAGCATTAGATAAACAATATAACAACAAAAGCATTTTCTTATATAGCAGCTGGTTCATGTGCAAAAGAAGCCGGATTCATCTCCAGGCAGGAATGTAGTGTAAATTTTCAAAATCTGAAATTAATGTTGGTCCTCACAAGAAGTTTACTGTAGGTCATTTGACAATCTTACATTTTGGGTAATATTATTATTTTGTTTTTATTGCTAGTGGGGTGGGACTAAGTCCCTTGTACTGCGGCCACTTCTGGCCTATTGTACCAGCCCCAGATGATAGGTGAGGGCGGTGAGGGTGATTGTGGAGCAAGTGGCGGAATGAAGATTGGCAGGGGAAACCGAAGTACTTGGAGAAAACCTACCCCAGTGCCACTTTGTCACTGACTGATCATCAGAAGCAGTATCATTTGCACTGCTTGTTCCACGTGCACGATTTCCAGTCACGTCGTTCAGATCCACCCAATAATTAAACTAAGCGTGGCGGANTCCTTTCCCCTCTCTCTCTTCTCTCTCTCTCTACACACACACACACACATACACTCTCTCTCTCTCTCTCTCTCTCTCAGGTCCACGGATCCATGGATTAAATTATCCATTACTTAGTCGCCCGTGCCTATAACCAATGTAGCTATTCCGAGCATAGGATCATGCAGTTGTAAACCCTTTTTCACATGTTATCCGTGGTTATTGTTCGTGCTGTCGGTCCTGTCGGTCAAGTTATTCAATAATTTGGAGGGAAGTTGTATTAATTATCTGCATGTTTCACACTTTTGATCTCATAGTAGTAATGGGTAGCATCGGTAATTTTTGGTAACTATTGAAACGAAGCTGTGTATATTTCTTTGAAATTGAAAACTGGAAATAATGTTGACTCTGTTGTAATACAATATGATTTTGTAAAGATGGATGTTATTGAAGCAGTAAAGGGCCTAATGTTGGATACATTGGATTCTGATTACATTGAATCTGTGTGGTCCCAGGAGTTCATGGGTGGTGCAGAATTACCTGATTTTTATAAGGAATACGGTGACAAGCATGCTATTCAAGTCCTTAGTGAGGTTAGTGCAGCAGTTGACAAGTGGCAGGCCGTAGAACAGTGTACTATACGTCCAGGTAATATAAATACAGAAGAAAGGCAAGATAAAAGTTGGAAGCTGCTAATGGAACTCAAATTTGATTACAAGGCACTGTTGTCTGTGCTGTGGGGTTTCATTACAAATGGACAAAGAAACAAATATGATGAAGTTTCAAGGATTCTTTCTTTAAAAGCAAGTACTTTGTATCTTAAACTTCTGTCAGTTTCTGGAAGTAGAGTATTTCATGCATTTCATCCTTACTTATGCTTGAAATCTGTGAATATCTTAAAATTAGGAATTCTGGCGACCTTCAAACAAAAGAAAAAATCGAAGAAGTGTGGTACAGAGGCAACAGCTGAAGTGTTGACAAATGATATGGGTGAAATACAGTTGAGTGTACAAGAAACATCTTCGCTACTAAATGAACTTATGATGGTACTGTGTGCATTGCAATTATTTGTAACCAAGTTCTCTTTGGAATCACAGGAAGAACTGCTAGAAGAAATTGTTAAAAGACTAACCGAAATTACTAGATTGGAAGTAAATACATCAAACTTCATGACATACCGCAGATTGAATAGATCAGTTATGGATAAGGGTGTGTCATCTCTTGCATACAGTGCATATGAATGCTTGAAACTCTTGTGCTCTCCACAACATGGTGATTTAGAAGACATTGTTATTATTATCATGAAACATCTTCTCTCCAGTGTTCTTTTATCTGATCATGATTTGTCATTTCGTGAACTGTGCACAATAAGAGAACATGCTGTGCATTTTATTAAGTACTTACTCTATACCTTGAAGGATGTTACACACAGAGGTATTACAATATTCATCCACCATGTGTTTACAAGGATTGGTGAAAAGGCTGAAACCCGCCAAAAAGGAAAAGAAACCATAGTTGATATAATGAAAATTATGCCATACAAACAATACACAGCTCTAGTGAGATGGTTGTTTGATTGTGCCCATAGTGATAAAGCATCATATAGACTTCTTGCTGTGGAGGTGATATCACAACTCTTATATGAAGAACCACAGGTTTCAGCCTCTATCAGCATTGCTTCAGGTCATGATTCCTGTGTTTCTTACAATAGTGGTAGTGATGCAAGCACAGAACCTGGACACCCACAGGGCAATAGCAGTACTGACAGCAGTCCATCTTCAGCATATTGTGCCAGGGAGGGTGATATGTTGTATAAATATATGTTGGCAGTTATATTTGCTCGATGTCGTGATTCATCAGGAACTGTTAGAGCTAGAGCATTATCACTTCTTGTACAGTGTATGAGATCTGATAATATGGTAGTGTGCAGTTTATTCAATGAGATATTTGTACTAAATCAGCAGTGCAGTGGAAATGAGAAAGCATTCATGAATTACAAACAGATAATGGTGGCATTAGAAAAGAAAAGTGCAATGAACCCACTCCCAGGTGCAAGAGTGATAATTGGTGAATTTAAAAATCTAGCTTGTGATAGTAAAGTTAATGTGAGGAAGGCAGCATTGCAGGCTTTGGAGAGCATCATGAAATTGAACAGAAGCTGGCTAACAGAAAATATTTTGGAGGTTAGTTTCATTTTTATATAGTTCAGAGGTAAATAAAATTTTCTCAGTCTGATCCCTGCTGTAGTATAGGTATTAAATTGTGTAGAGACAGAACCTCTGTTGTCTCTTTATCTAAGAATACAGCCTTGTTTACAAGGTTACAAGGTTTACAAGGATTGCATGTCACAGGTTTGCATTGTGCCATAAATGACTGTATTTATATGGAATGGATAGTGTCTTAGTTTTTTCTAGTTTATTTTATGACAGTGTCAGTATCCAAGATTATATAGGGTAGAATGGTATGTTGATTTGTTAATAAAGCTGTGGAAAGTATTTGAAAGGAAGTCCTGGAATTTTTCTGGAGGTTCTGACGAAACAACAAGAAACCTTAGTCATGTACCTACCGATAGAAGTCTGGCACATTACGGCTACATCATTTTGCTTGGTGATGTATCCCACTTACAGATCTTTGATGCCATCATTCTGAAGCTGCACTACGCCAAGTGCTAGTCTGTTCTGAAGTTTGCTAGCTTTATGTTTTGTGATGAGTTCATTTACACATTTTGTTTTTCAGTCATGGTAAGTGAATCCTTTGGAAACCAAGTTATTGTAGCTGTTTTGAAGAATTAAAAGGACTGTTATTATTAACGACCTAACCTTACAGATGTTGGGATCTACTTGCCGAGATCCTGCAGTTTCAGTTCGCAAGGAGATGGTCCAGATCCTTTCTGACTTGTTGCAGCAATATCCTGATGATAAAAAACTTGCTAAAATTTGGGCAAAATGTGTTGTACCGCTTGTCTTAGATCAAGAAGGGAAACTTCAGGAATGTGTCTTGAAGGTAAGGACATACGAGTACTATGAAATGCAAAATGAGTGGGTGTAGCTGGCAATGTGTGTTTTTTGTGACTTCTTATTAACAGTCTTTGTACCAGTTAAACTACCTCATCGTTGCACTAAGTGTTATCAGATGAGGTTGCTGCAAGGTGACACAGAAGCTGCCAAACATATGAGCCATAATGCCATAGCAGCAATGTTTCCAGGTGATGAGTCTGGTGATTGTAGATAACTTGACCGAGTACAGCAGGCAGCAGGACAACATATGGTATGCCTTACCATGGCAGCTACTCACATATATTGTGGAGTTTAATCTTCATGTCTGCTTCATGAAGGCTTGTGAGGTATGGGTAAAGGAAAAGGAAACAAGGTAAGAAAATGTTTTGTTATTTTATTATTAAACAACTTGTGCTTTTGTGACTGAAGAGTTACAGAAAAATCGTGGTTTATTACTGCAGTTGTATGCCCCTAACTTTCCTGTGATTCACCCTGTGTTCATGCTCAGTATATCAGAAATATTTCAGGCTGAATGCTGTGCAGTGTATAATACAACCCAATATTTCCCCATCATCTGTGACAGCTTTTGCACGTACTTCTTATGTTTATCAGAAGATGGCAAAACCATGTATAATCACTTGTCATGGGTTTCTGGGTGCAGTAACAGTGTAAAGGAACATGAATTGAATTTACAGTAAACACTGAAGTGAAGGGTACTATCTTCTGTAATATAATGCCCTGCAGTCTGTTGAAAGTCAGCTGACGTTTCAGAGGAACGTGTCACCTTGATCTTCGGGATCAAATAAACCAAGCAAGATACCAGCATGTGAAAGTAGGCGGCAGGTCAATTCTTGGCTTGCTGCTTGCCTTCACGCTGGTATCTTCCTTACCTAATTGGACCCTGAAAATGGAAGCCATATGTTCCTCTGAAACATCAGTTGACTGTCAATGGACTACACAGCATTATATCCCAGAAGGTAGTGTTCTTCATAATCACCACTGTGAGAACCTCAATTCCTACATAACTATGAAGTGTTTAAGACTTGCTAATTACTGTTTTACCCTGAAGTAGAATTACTTTTTAGACTGTTTTTCTTATTAATTTATAAAGATAGATAGGCTTATAATGTCTATGTGTGTATGTGTCCATTTGTGTTTGCCCTTCCAACTGTAACATAAGAACCAATGGTTGGATTTTCATGAAACTTGGTATGAACATTATTCTAGTGTTGTTTAATGTACAGAAATTATGTGTGGTAATAACTGACTCTGGCAGTAGGAGCCATACATTCAACAGCCTTTCAGCTGTACCTTTATCCTGTTCAGGTGCTTCTTATTGTCGTAACATATTCTGAAAGCCTTGTCCTCCCTTTTTTGGGCTTCCAAGCGTAGCTTTTCTTACATTATTCTTCTTATGTAAGTACAGTTGAAAATAATACAGCAGCTGCCTGCAGTTCGTAATTACGATCGTGTTTTTTAGTGAGAACTAATGAAACATTACAAATAGATGTGTAAAAATGGGTTTGTAGATCATAAATGTATATACAGATACTGTATGGATAATTTTTTGTATGCTGTTACACAGTTTTCAAATGTAACATTATACCAAAATCTTTGTAACAGAAATCTGTTCAAGTGGGAATTGTACACAGATATGTATCGCTCTGAGTGATACAGCTGCTATAGACTGTCAGTATAGCCGAAAGCATTAGACGAAATTTTAAGCCCATTAGTTTCTTCTCGTTAAGAATTTAGAGTTATATGTTCACAATAAGAGGAACTTTGTCATTAAAATCGCTAATATTTGTACTTACCTATTGAAAAAGTTGTTCCTTTTTATGGTTTTTATAGAAATAGTTTGGTGAATGATTTGTGCACTCACGTGGGCACTGAAAACAACACTCCAGCATGGATTGTTCTATACTGCTTGTCAACACAAATGGATTTCAAGAACCCCATGTTTGCAGTAGAATATTATCGACAAACTGTTACTTCAAATGAGGTAAATAGACAATAACTAAATTTTCTCTTGTGGAACTCTAAACTTCATGGTGAGATCACAAAATACAACACTGATTCTCATTTTGGAAGTTAACATTCGCATTGGAGACGGAATAGTCATTGTGGTGGATAAATGTAGAGTACTGTCATCTGGGATATGTTGCTGCCTTCTTGCTGGTTATTATTTAGCCCTGGATACAGAAGCAGTACATCTCCCCTAAATGTTTGGAAACTTCTACCAGAATACATGGTGTCACATCCCGGAAGGTAATACTCTTCATTTAAATGCCATGATGACTGTTTTAAACCGTGAACATGTTGGTTAAGCATTGTGTGACCAGAAGCAAAGAGAAGGCTGGAAGAGCTGTAAGGATTCGTGTGAACTGCTATGATATGCATAAAGTCAAATGTGTAACTATGGCTCATTCTTCCCACTAACAGAGAGTTTGTTTATGTTTTGATGCAACTAATGTTTCTAGATAAATATGAAGAAAGCAGTCTTCTGGGATTTGGCACCATGTATATGTGGTGTTAACCACATATACCTCAAATCTTACCTAGATAAATATGTTGCCCGAGGCGTGATAAAATGCTTCCAGAGGCAAGAAACGTTTTTATTTATATTTTTACATTTTAATTTAATTTTTCTGGTCTGATCCAGAATTAAACTTTTTTATTTCTACTCACAGCTGAAATAGTCTTTGGAGCCTACCATCAGGGTATAGTTAAATTTAGTAGTCTAAAATGGCATTAATGCTGTAGATAAAGGATCACTTTAATTGGTGAATTTCTTTGACCTCTGTCTAATTGATAGCTCTTGTTGTTATGGCAGATGTGTTTATTATATTCTAGTAGTCTGTGTATTTTATGTGTAAGTTTAATGAATCATATTTACATCTGGAACTAATTTTTTAGATGAATTTGCATCCCTGCAGAGTATTTGTGAAATTACACTGTACACATGAAATAACTGCAGAAACACATACTGGATTTTCATGAAATTCCACTTTGGTTGAAGTGAGACAACTGTAATGGGCACTTTACACTAGGACCTACATGCATTTCTGTGCACATCTTGAGCTTAACTTGCACAAAACTTGCAAAATATTTGATGGACCAAAAAGTGCTTGGAACAAATTTATTGAGAAAAATTAAACACACGTTATGCACAATAGATTTTCCATGGGTCTTATGGTTTTTGAGATAGTTAAACTAAAGGAGCAACTGCACCAGAATGTAACAGTGAGCATATATTACCTGATTCGTTGTGTACACCAGGGATCAGTGTCTTTGCTGGTGATTGTCCTGGAAGTGTTGCTGTCATGTTGTGGTAACCTTCCTCACCATGTGCAGAAGGACATGCTGCATGAGCTCGTGGATGGATTGTCTAACTTCAGTGTACAGAGAGAGCTGATCCGTCTGAATGTGGAGATTGCTGTTCAGCTTACTCATCATTTGGTAGAGTCAAAGAAAGAGGCTAGGAAGAAAGTGAAGTCCTGGACTGGTGACCTCTTGCAGGTGAGATGTGTTTCTTTTTTCAGATGAGGATGCATGCATTTCCATGCATCTCTTCCCCTGCGAAATGAATCACTGGATTTAAACTGAATATGGTACTGGGGGTTTGCACGTAAGTGTATGCGAATCATATTTTGGGGCCATATTGTTTTGCCTGTTGTGTTTACATGACGAGTAAATTGAACATCATTACTTTTCTGAAAAATTAATGGCAATAAAGTACTTGTTTTGAGAAATGAAATATTTCTGGAAATAATTTTCTTAAAATCTTTCAAGTGATGACACATCAACTTGAGTGTGTTCAGGTGAAATGGAATATGATTCCTCACAGGAGATTTTTAGTTCTGGGAATCTGAGAAAGGCTGTTTAGTGCCAATTCATGCAGTTGTGGTGGATTAGTCATTTTTTATTATTCAGATCTTTCTTAATGTTAAGTGGCTCTGTGGTTTTGTACCCACAGTCACTTGCGTTGACTTACTAGCTGTGTTAGTTGAAATCCTTGAATCAATGCCATGACCATCATCAGGTAATTGTCTTCTGATGAATTTTAAAGATGGAATTAAAAGTATGAAACTGTGGCAGATTTAGGATTACTGGGTGTTAGGATTTTGTCCATCATCTGGTATTCTAAAAACACAATAGAACATAGCAGAATACCAGTTGATAAAGTCCGAGAACCTAGTACTCCTGAGTGTTATACCCCATCATTAGAACCCTTCAGAATCTACCAGTAAGGTAGATGTTCTAGTATCCACCTCAAATCACTTAACGAAGTGTTTTTTATAAGCAGAACCCTTCAGAATGTACCAGTAAGGTAGATGTTCTAGTATCCACCTCAAATCACTTAACATAAAGTGTTTTTATAAGCAGAACCCTTCAGAATCTACCAGTAAGGTAGATGTTCTAGTATCCACCTCAAATCACTTAACATAAAGTGTTTTTGTAAGCAGAACCCTTCAGAATCTACCAGTAAGGTAGATGTTCTAGTATCCACGTCAGATCATTTAACGAAGTGTTTTTTGTAAGCAGAACCCTTCAGAATGTACCAGTAAGGTAGATGTTCGGGCTGCACCATAGCTCAAGCAGTTAGTTACTAAGATGTATGAAGTATAATATGTTTTTTAACTTTATCAGTAGTGGAATTTGTCACTCTCTGCAGTGTAGTGTTTCTACTGTTGAATGTCTCTGTCAACAATAGATTTGTTTCTGCTGTAAACAGATATCAAGGCAGAGTTTTCATTTGGGGTACACCTTTTAGTTCTTATTAGGCACTGAAGTTCAGTGAGCAACTGTTCGTTAAAAAGGAATGCTGATTTTTCAGAGGTCACAGTTGTATCTGGAGAACACACTTAAACGTGATTCAACAAAGGTGCTTGACAAAGATCAATTTCTGTGCCACCTGCATACAGTGGGGGAAGTTGCCATGCATAATCCAAGGCAATTGGATGAGAAGACATTTCGGCTGCTTCAGCAGTTCCTCTTCATTTCAGATGCAAACAGTAAGAACTGATTTCTACATTTATGAATCTTTTATTCAAAGATTAATGTTCTCCCAAATCTTAAAAATATGGAGATGATGTTTATTCCCCTCCTTTTCTTCTGCATGTGTTTCATTATGGCATGTATGTATTTTTGTGGTGTAAATTAAAAATTATTTTGTCCCAAATCTCTGTTTATATTCTGTGTGGCTTTCAAACATCAAGGTATTAAAATGTGAGAAATTCATAATGTGATGTGCCACACAGCCATACAGTGAGGCTCTCAAAAGGAGTAAGCAGTATTCTGCGCAATATGCCCAACAGAAATTAATGTATCTGTTATAGTACTGTCTTGTAATTCACTCATCCTTGTCAGTCCTGTCCACAAGCTTGTATCAGTGTTACATTCCACAGCTGGTAACATTTATTAACTGGATTTCAGTCTCTCATTACTGTGGTGCTGGTGACCACGTTTGAACTTGGTGGTAATGGGGTTTAGTATGTTGCAAGCAGTGTGCCACTAGGCCTTCTGGGGCCTGCTCAACCATTGCACATGCCAGCGCAGCTGTGTAACACGTGGAGATAACACTGATTTCTGTTTTACATGGTGAATGTTCACTAAAATCAGTTTGATTCTGTTTGCATAATACCTTAAAACAATAACACCTCCCTCACTACCATTGTAGCTAGCCAGTGAGTGACAGATGGTATCATAATATCCAATACTGAAAACATGGTTTAGGTTCATTTCGTTTTAGCATTTAGTTCACATTTTCAAGATATTGTCATGTGTTGGGTACTTCATGCCATTTTGGATCTAGTGAATTTATTGAACACTCGCTCTTACATTTACACAATTTACAATCTCACAACTACTGCCATTGGCAGTATCACAGTTACTTCTCCTGCTCTCGGCTACTGCTAGGCTTTAACTGCACTTGGCGACTTCACGACCCGCACTGTGTCACTCCTAATCACACACTCTGCTCACATACTGCTCAGCCAGCTTTTTATACTGTCTTCTGTTGCCTCATATTACCAGCGGTGTCCCCTTGTTACATCACCACGGGGGAAAGGGACGGAGTGTTGACTGGCCTGTTACTGTAGCAGCGGCAGTTGCTCCGATGCTGTTACGTCACTGCTGGAAAGGGGGTGTACTGCATAGTGCAAATACGTCACGATATGCTCTTCACTCAGCATGACAGACCAAGTTTCACACCCGTGTGAAACAGTTTCTGTATTAGTTCAGGATTAAATTTTCCCTTTTGTACTCTCTTGTCACATTCAGTTATTCCGTATATATAACTGTTTGCATCTTTTGTTTATTTAGTTCCATTATATATAGTCATGATATTTGTACAGGTATGGGAGATATAGCCGCAGATCCAGTTGCCAAAGCACTTACTGTTGTAACTGTGGGCAAGCTGTGTGTGCTGAACCAGATGTGGGCAAAGCAGTTGACAAGGCCACTTGTGAAGCTGCTCAAGATAACACAAGATTTGCCCACACTAATGAACATCATATATGTGCTCAGAGATCTGTGTGTGCGGTAAGTTCCTAGTAGCAAACAAATTGCATCATAATATATAGGTACTTAATAAATTAATAAGAGAAACATGGGATATAGTTTAAATATTTGGGAATGACAGTAATCTCCTGTCTAAAAATGTAAATAAATCATAATTGTTTGAAATTCACATCCCTTCACACTTGATAAAGATTAAATAGGTTGTGTTGCTTCTTGAATTCCTCCCAAATAGGATGTTAACAGAGACTGCAGTCACCACGTTTCTGATCCTTATCACTTGATGATCCTAATTAATTTAATATTATAAAAGCAAAATATGCCGGTCACGGTAGCCGAGTGGTCTAAGGCATGTACTGTCTTTGCTCGCTTGGAAACCGGGATCGTGGGTTTGAATCCCACTCAGGGCATGGATGTTTAGTTTGTGTGTGTGCCTTTTTCTGTGTTTGTGTCCAGGTAGAGGCCTTGCAATGAGTTGATCACCCACCCAAGGAGTCCTACCAAATGTGTAAGATCTAGAAAAAACCGAAGTGAACAGAGAAGTTCATGGAGGTAGGCCTAGGCCCACTGGGGCTGTAGTGCCAAGGAAAAAAAAAAAAGAAGCAAAAATGTAATACTTTATCATTATACAGTGAAACGTTGGTAGTAAAGGTCCCTTTCAATTTGTAAAGTAGTAATTTTACTTTTAAAGTGGGTAATTATTTCTTTTTTACCCCATAAAGATAAGTTAAAGTTGTCCTTGTGCTTGACTGATTAAGCACTATGCCATGAAGGCATATGGGGGAGCAGATGTATAGAGCCACATTTTCTTTACCTCTGCACTAGCTGGAGGTGAATGATCAGCTTCATGCCTTGGCTGCTTTACTGCCAGGGAAAGAACCCTGAGTACCCACTGGATAGGAGGCTGAGTGAGCCCCACAGCTGGTCTGGACAACATAAAGCAGAGAAAATTCTTAGTCCTACTGGGACTCGAACTCTGACCTCTCAGTCATCCAGCCCGTAGCCAGTTGTACTGACTGTGCTATCTCATCTCCCGCTCTACCCTGTAAATAGATATTTTATCCTGTTATCTGTACAGTACCATGACTCACATTTGTCCCTAATAAGTTTGAACTCAATAGTTTTGTAGATAGTTTGGTGTGGACATCATTGTAAGGTATTCAACCTTCATACTGTTTGACTCCCTACCATCAGTACAAATGATATGAGTGACAGCCATGCAAATTTCTGACGCAGGAACAACACTAAAGCTACTTTATGTAGAGTCCTAGAGTTTTGATCTTTGAAATATGTTGCTGCTTATATTAAGATTATGTTTTGTGCATTGTATAAGAGCAGCAAGGCAGCCCAGGATACAAACATGGTGACCAACACAAATTTTAAGTTATATTTGATACAGGTGCGATCAGAACACTGAATTATATAAATATTACTATATAAGTGACGCTAATCTCTTCACATGGATTTAAGCATTTAAAGGGAAGTGTCATGAGTACCACAGTGGCCCAGTTTCAGTCTGTGGTGGCAAAAGTGTTACTGGTGCAGGTTTTCTCCAAGTACTTCAGTTACCCCTACTGGTTTTTCCACCAAATGCTCCACACCTGTCACCTGTCAGCTGGGGCTGGTACAGTGGGTCTTTTAAGGCCTAAATACCAAGGGACTCAGCCTCACGCTACCCCAAGAATAATAATGATAACAAAGTGTCATAAGTAAATTTCCAGGATTTGTGTTTGTGATTTGACAGATATGGGGCCATGATGGAGCCGCATCTTCTCAGCCTGTGGCTATGTCTGAAGGACACAGTGGTGCAAGTGCGAATCACTACACTGACATGCCTCGTGGAGCTTCTTCAAGGAAACTATATCAAGTGCCGTGGTGCCATGTTTTTTCATCTTCTAAGTATGCTCTGTGACTTAGATGAGAATGTAGTAGAACTTACTACCTATTTTTTGCGAGACTACCTGGTGGCAACAAACAAAAACATAATGTATGAACATTTCATTGATGCTCTGTTTCACTTCAATGGCTATCAAGTAAGGTTATATACCACATTTACTCAACATCTTTCTATATTAATAGCAGGATGTGATATGTATCAAAAACTTCATTGGTTCTTTTAGTTTGATAAGATGTAACTTGGAAGTAAATGTTTAAAGGACATCAGAATTAGGTCATCTGCTTGCAGTAGGAAACTGTGGTTCTAAGTGTTTAAGATTTGACATTTTCATAGCAATAGGATTCACCTTGTGGTTTCCTGGATTATGATGCCATGTGATCTGATTAGCAGACACCAGCTTTTCAGTGGAACTTATTGCTTGCCTCCATCTTGTTACTCTTCCCTCCTTTTACGCAGGACTCATTGCCCTCTTGAAGATCCATTCCTCATTTTGTCCATTCATGGATCTGATTGGTAAACTCAGTCTTCCATGACTGGCTTCTTTCACTCTTTTTCTGTATAACAGTCACTTTCTTGACTTAGCTCCCTGCACCCCTGATGAAGGGCACTGTGTGCTTCTATAATATTTGTAGCCACCTATCACACTGCATGCCATCATAACCCAGAAGATTTGGATGTTCAAATCATTACTTTTATAAAGAGAAATCAGTAAATAGGTCAGAAATGGAAATAAAACAGCTGTAATGGACGTAATAGGTTTCGTAGGTGTATCACAACGCAGCAACATAGTCTAGCTTCATGAGAGTCTAGGTAGCAGATATGAATGTGTATGTTCAGAGGGTGTTTTCAGTAGTCAAAATGGCGACTATACTTAGTATACTACCGAAGAGCAGAATTCTGTTGTGAAAAATTCTGAGGCAAAAGGGATGAAATCCAGAGGACATTCATAAAGAAATGTTTCCTATTTATGATGGGATGTGTTTGTTGCGTAAAGCGGTTTGCAACTGGATTGAAAAATTCTCTCAAGGACATTTGAAAATTGCAGATGATGCCCAACCAGGTTGCCCTGCCGAGATTGTCAAAGAAGCAACTGTGCAGCAGGTGCTAGAGTTGATTCGAGCTGACAGGAGGATAACGATAGGCAGTGCAGCAACTGCACCAGGGTGTTCCCATGGTAGCATGCAGCATAATGCATGATCATTTGAAATTTTGGAAACATCCCAGTTCACTTTCAACTAAAAATTTTAAGCTTATGCCATCAGCTGGGAAGGTTATGCTTACTGTGTTTTTGGATTCTCAGGGAGTACTGTTAGCCCATTTTCAGGAGCATTGTGAAAATATGAATTCTGCATCGTACTGTGAAGTTCTGTCAGAGCTTTGGGATGCAAGTCACAGAAAATGTCCAGGCCAACTGGCAACAGGGATACTGCTCCGTCATGACAATACCAGACTCCATACAGCCCGAACAACCCAGGAGAGAACCCAAGAACTACAGTGGGAACTTCTTGAACATCCACCCCTAGTGAATTCCATCTGTTTGGTCCACTAAAAAGCCATCTTGATGGGGAATGTTAGACTGATGATGAGGTTGAAATGGAGGTGCAGAAGTGACTGAGACAGTGATCAAAAGACTTCTGTGGTGCAGGTTTCACTGTGCTGGTAAAGCAGTGGGACAAGTGTATCTGTTAGTGGAGGATATGTTGAGAAATAAATGTTTTTTCCAGGTTCAAACATCACATGTTATACGTTTTATATCCATTTATGACCTATTTACGTACTGTCCCTCAGACTTTGTTAGAATGTTTTTCTTAAATTTTATGCATTCTCTCCTCTTATTTATATAGTAGACTTGGTGAGAGAGAAAGGAAGTTAATATCAGCTGCCACCCATATATGGCAGAGCAAAAATATCAAGCAGTGGTTGAACATAAAGTGAGAGATCATGTGCGTATATTTGCATCTGTGCAAGTACCCTGTACTGTCAGTTTTCAGTGTGCAAATTATCCAGTCTGTTGTGTATATGTACCTCGTTTTAAGTGCATTTGCAACTATGACATATATTTTCATTATATTTGAGAACTTTGTGAAGAATTGTCAAGCCGTTTAATTTTTAATTTATATTGAATAATTGTATCTACTACTTTATTTGAAGACCTACATGCTTTTCTGCACATACTTTGAGCTAAATGTGTATCAGAGCAAAAAAAATTTTCCAGCAGGAATAGTAGTAGGGGAAAATGAACCACACATTTTATGATTAGTACAATATTTTCATAACTCTCATGACTTGAGACAAGTGGACAAATTGGACCCTCCACATACATTCCAAAATTCCTATACTCAACAATCACCATGTTATCATGATCACATCTGAAACTTTGATTACCCATTTTTTTGGATTATGCATGCCTCTTTATTTGCATAGATAATTGGTAGTATACAGTATGCGGAGTGATAGTTCCTTGTTCTTTTTAGCTTGGAAATTGTGCAGGGGTTCAGAGGTATAATTTAATTATGCTAGCTGTTTAGTAAAGCCCACGTGCATAAAATGTCACAGTATCCTCTAGTTCCTTTACATTCTGTTACCTCACTGATGCTAAGTGAGGAAGTGAATTATTGGAGCCTTGAAAACATGAAGGGAGAACCTTGATCTTCCATATTTTCCCACGTGTGAGATGTAACTGCTATATGTGAAATGTTAGTATTGTTGTGATGTTGCAAGGGTCATGAAGTGTATGGCAAATGTTCGATGACAAGAGAAGAACGGGAGAATTTTCTGATGAAAGGAGACAAGTTCAGGGAGAGCAGGGAGCTCCTCTACGGATTCATGTTGGAGAACATGGATGATGAACATCGCATGCTAAGCAGAAACAACCTTGTGATGAAAGTGCTTGGTAAGAATGGATATAATTTTGACATTTCTGAGGCACAGTATCATTTCATGAAGTAACACATTGTGACTTTATAATTTTCTGTATTTTTCTGCAGTCTTCTCTGCAAACCTGAACTTGTTCTTTTGTGTCTTTCCTTATAGGAATGATTATTTTACAGTAGAATAGAACTCGTAACAGTTTACGTAAATGCAAAATATAATACAGTTCTGAGGGCATTTGCAGGAAACATAGTGTTGGAAGTTTAAAGTAAAAGGACATAGGATCTACTGAACTGACTAAATCCATGGAGCAGAGCCACGCTAAGATAATGGTCACTCACCTAGTCACCATCATTCACAGCTGTCAATAGGATGTGGAATATGTGACACCATGTAGTTTGGTATTGTGACGTGTTGCGCTATGCAGGACACCCCTCCCCCCGCCAGCGGTGATGTGGCCAAGGGATGCCGCGGTTGCTAGGCAGCAGTAAACAACTCCTGACAGCGTTGCTAGCAACAAGCCACCAGACAACAGTGGTGCCTATTACATGGCTGTTTTCTGTGTTGTCCGGAACGGGGCTAAATAAGGAGCAGCGAAGACTATTCAAGACAGTTACAGTTCTCAAGTTCTTGAGTTACGAGTTACGAGTCAGCCAGGCAGTCAACCAGCATTTGCAGTCTAGTCTTTGTGATACTGCCAATGCTAGTAATTGTCAGATTGTAATTTGTGTGATTCTAAGAACGAATGTGAAATAAAATTCGCTATATCCAGTAAGGCGTGAAGTTATTTGTCGCGTTATACACCCAACACGTGACAATTTGGCGTCAGAAGTGGTATTGGACTTACACACGTGACCAACAAGTTTTGAACTCAAGACACGTGACAGTATATTACTAGAATTTTGAAGTAACCTGTGCCTTCATCTTCAGGGTAGAGAAGGGGTGAAGATGGAGGTAACAGGTTCCTCAGAAGTGTTGGTAATAATATACCAGACTACATGGTGTCACATTCTGGAAGAGAGTAAGTTTGAGAAATAAACTTGGCTCTTATAGAACTTGCAAGATAATTTGTTCAGAAGATTCCACCGCTCGACCTTATCCTGACCTAGATGAATCCAGTTCAAACCCTCCCACCTCACACCCCCTTTCTCTAATATTATTCTCCAGTCTACACCAAAGTCTCCCAAGTGGTTGTATCCCTTCAGATTTTATAACTAAATTCATGTATGCATTCATGCTACATTCCCATTCAGCTCATCCACCTTTATTTGATCACTGTAATATTTGGGGAAAAATGCGTATTTCAAAGCTCCTCATTATGCGTCATCTCCAGGATCCCATTACGTCCTCCTTAATTCAAACTTCATCTTGGCATTCTGTTCTCAGATACCCTTAATATGAGTTCTTCCTTTATGGTGAGAGCATATAAAATATCAGCTAAGATTCTAGTTCTGTATATTTTAGGCTTTATGTTTTTAGATAGACAAAAAGACAGGTCATGAACTCTGTGCTATCAACCATCTCCCAAATTCAATTTGTTCTTAATTTCTCCATGAACATAATTTTTATTTGTTACTGTCATCCTCAAATATTTGAACTTTTCAACATATTAAAATTATTTATTCGCTATTTTTATAGAAAATACTGAATAGTACTGCATGATGTTATACCTGCAGATGGTGCTTCAGAGGGTCAAGTGAGGCTGGATGAAGATGGTGAGAACGTGGTCTTGGACGCTATACACATACTGAATAGCAAGCAGATATGTCTGAGTGCGCTGCAACAGGAATGTGACGAGGATCCTGCAGCTGAGAATATAGATAAAGTCACAAATATATTAGTTAAGGCTAGAAATAAAGCTATTGGAGAGGTCAGTACTATTCTCAACAGTCATATACCTTATAACAGGCATCCCCAAATTCTTTTTGTCATAAACATGCATTTCTGTGGCTCTGAGAATATTGTAATGTCAAATTTCATTAATATTACATGTTTTACTTGTCACAGTGTGAGAAGAAGAATATGATTGAGAATATTGTACCAGTTGTCATTCACCTTAAGGCAGTGCTCCAGGAAAAATACTCTCGTCTCGTCCCTTGTCTCATGCAGTATGTCAGAGACATGATGAAGGAGTACAAGAATGAGGTAGCCTAATGTAATCTTAAAGAAAGAGAGAAATGTTGAGGCATCTCTTCTGTATTAATCGACTTTTCAGATATCCATCATGCAAAACAAAAGACAATATACAGGGTGTCCCAGGAGGAATGTGCCAAACTTCGGGAGGGTGTTCCTTATGTTAAAGTATGCCGATATAACCCAAAACACCTATGTCCAAAGTTGAACGGTTACGGAGATAATGGCCAGAGAAGTGTCAAACTTTGACCGGGGTTACACACTTGTTGATTACAAAATAGATATTAAAACTGGCAGGAATATGTGG